GGGTTGTGTCATCTGCATAACGCAGATTGTTGATAAATCATCCACCAATCTTGACCCCACATTTCTCCTCATAGAGCCCAGCCTCCCGGATAATCTGCTCTGCATATATGGAAATCCAGATATGATTTCTCAAGAAAATCATCCATTCATTAAGTACTTGTTAATTCTCTGCCACGCAAGCAGGATGCCAAGGCTCAAGTTTTCATTGCCCTAGTGAACTTTCTGATTTTACTCCTTCATTCAGTCCCGTTGTCTTTTATGGTCTTGGATTAAGTCTGGCATGGGATAGGGGCACAGAAGACACTGGCACACATTAAGTGTGCACAAGTAAGTTACCCAGCATGCAGTATAAACAGGCACATTAAGTGTCAGGACACAGTAGGCATCGTCGAGATACAATAATCTTAAGCATCTACCAGTTTGATCCAGAGCAAAAATGTATAATCTTGGGAAAGATCTAAAATTCTTGAACTAAGCCCGCCCCTTGCTGAGGACGTCTACAGAGCCCACCGCCTCCACAGCACCGGCGCAAGCGCACTCACGATCGCAGGCAGGTCAGCTGGCCGCAGCTCCCCCTTGCGGAGCTCTAGGGCGCGCGCGGCCTCTTCGGGGCATGCACAGAGCTGCTCCATGTCTAGTTGGGGCAGCGCGCTGTAGCCGTCACGCGCGTGTTCATACAGGAGGTTCCGAGACTGCCTCTCCGAAGCGAAATTCCTCTTCGGGCTCCGATTGCAGGCGCAGTTTCTGCGGGACCAGAATCCCCGACCGGCCAGCAAGGGCCTCCAGCGCCCCAGCACGGACGCAGCCATCTTGGATTGGGGACAAGGAGTTACGCCCTTTTGTCCCGCCCACTCCGGCCAGAGACCAATTTTAAAGCAGTTCTCATCCTCGGGACAAGCCAATCAAATCGTGGAAGAGGGAAGAACTTCCTATGAGAAAACTTCAGATGCAGAGAGACTCAAAGCAGATTCGATGACAGCAGTTAACTGAGATTGACTTCCTCTTTGACCAATCACTGCGTGACAGAACCAACCAATCACATCGGGGTATCTCCCGAGGGGCTGGAGGCGGCATAAAGTGTATGGGCGGACTCACTACAAGGTTGGTAAGGTCAATGAGGTATAGGGGAATCTCTTATTTCCCAGGGCTCTCCTTAGTCTTTCTTCTCCTATGTACAGAAGGGGAAGTTGGAAGGACTTTTTGTTAGCAGCGTGAGGGACTATGGTTAGATCTTTAGAGGAACTGACTTAAATTGAACTAGAGGCTAAGGGAGGAATTTGGACCCTGGCGATGACTGCTTTTTGCTCCACTTTTTAAACCTCCCATCTCTTAGCACAGACGCTGCAGACGGCAGGATGTGGTCTGGTCTTCTCCGCAGTCTCAACACCACTCTGAGCTACGGTAAGTGGAGAGCGCTGGCTGCGGTCACGGACTGTTTGAGGGTCAATCACGCAACCCCGAGGGTATCAGTTCTTTTGAATCTCTGTGGGCTTTGAGGAAAGTCAGGTTGCAAAGGTAAGAAGTAGGGAGATGTTAAGGAGTTGCCCACATGGCTTTACGCTTGCCCTGGTGGCGTAGTTAACTCTGTTGGGGTGCTGAGCAAAAGGTCGGCAGATCGAATCCACCAGCTGCTCCTTGGAAGAATGGCCAGTCTCCTCTGGTTAAGATTTACAGGCTTGGAAACAGCTGGAGGATTGCACGAGTGCAGCTCAACTTGATACCTGTTGCTAGGTGCTGTTGAGTGTCCACCACTCATAGCAACTCTGAACAACAGAGCTGAACCTTCCCCTTTGCTGTGCTATCCTCACAAACCTCTGATGTCCTGGACACCATTGTTACCGATGCTTTGTAAGTCCATCTTGTTGGGGGTCTTCCCCTCCACCATTCCAAGTATGATTTATTTTTTTCAAGGACTGTCTCCTTGATAACCTGGCCAAAGTATACGAGATGAAGTTTCACTGTTCTTTCCCCTAAAGGGTACCCTGGTTGCATTTCCAAGCAGAAGGAAGTGGGGTTTCTTGTTTGTTTTGTTTTGCTTTGGCTTTGTCTTGAGAGTTCTGGGAGTTTGGCTCAATCTCTTTTTTCTCCTCATCAAATACTTATTTATTCAATACCTTCTGTGGGTGAGATAGAAGTGTCAGACATACTTCTGTGTCACTAAGGGTAAAGGTGCCACTTGCTCGGTGTCTGTGATTTTTTGAGCACCTAATGTGTGCCAGGCACTGGGAATGGCACTTTAAAGACACTTTTTTTTTTCTTCATTTTTGTGTGTGTACCGTCAAATCAAATCTGACTGGTACAGGAGGAAATTGTCCCTCCTTCCTCAGCAGAGCATCTGGTGGATTTGAACCGCGCATCTCTGGGACTGCAGTGCAGCTTCTTGCCACTAGGCCACCAGAGCTCCCCACATTACTGACACTTTTATCCCTTTCACAGGTGTCAAATGCTCCCCAAGACCCTTACCTTCTGTGAGGTCTCTTACACACTAACTCTGTAAACCTGTGTTAATAATACACCTTCTGTGAGCCACTCACCAGGGCCTGATCCTTCCCTTGGGAAATCATAGGGGCCTCATGCCTCCGTGCTGGGAAAGGGACCAAGGCTGTGCAGGAAACAGTAAGAGGCAGCAGGGTCTTGCTGTACCATTAGGAAGAGGCAGAGTGAGGAATGCCCTCCTATGAGAAATCTACTAATGTGGAGATGGACTGTAGGACCTGACACCAGCCCTGTGTTGCAGACCGAGGGTCCCAAAGAATAGAATAATTTTATAATTATTAATAAAGAGACAGCCAGGAATGAGATAGAGCAGAGAGCGTAAAACAGGGGGTCAGCAGTTCTCGACTGAAGACCTCAAACCATGCTTCTCTGAGTATTTATTTAGAATCATAAGATAATAAAAGTAAAATCACAAGGAAGTACAAAACAAAGGATAATGGTGAAGTCTTTTACAGATAAGGCCAAGTTTCTCTTTATGCTAATCTCAAGAGGGAGGGGTTCATTTGACACAAACTAAGAACAATGTTGACTCCTAGGGAACGCCCCAGTGTCACAAGGTGACCTTCAGCTTGTATTAAGCTTCCCTCATTTCCCGATACAGCATTTGGTCTACTTATTAAATTTGATATTCGGCTTCCCTCAGCCCTGGATCTGGGGGAGAGTGTGAAATTTTGGTGGTGATAGGACATGGGTACTAGTTGGCAGAGGAGGCATAGGGATGCAAAGATGTATGAAGTTGAGGTTGGGACGCTCCAAGAGGGCAGGGCTTAGAGTTGTCACTGATGTTCCTGGGGTCAGGACACAGTTGTTACTCAGTGAATACTGAAGAAAATTCAGGTGTCTTTGGACCTTCTCATTCACACTGTGGGCTCAGAGCAATACCCCCATCTCCACCTCCCTTTTCATATTTTTGCCAACTGCAGCCACACTTGTCCCCTTTTGTGGGGGGTCACCGGCGAGAGTGCAATGAGCAGGAAAACAAGAGAGATGAATTCAAGGAGATGACTAGGGCAAGAGCGTGTGGGGGCGTTTGCCCTAGTGAGGCAGAACCATCAGAGAGCAGTGAACCAGGCAGGGATGGCACTGACTTGGGCATGCTTAGGGCCTGTCTGGCTGTGTGTGGAGGACATGGGAGTGAGGAATGTTTGTGGGGCAGGAGCTAGATCAGTGAGGGGAATGCACGAGTCCGGCAGGATGGACAAGACTAAGGTACGCATAGTGGAGAAAGAGAAAAAGGGGATGCTTATCAGTTTTAAAAGTTGCTCTACTCTGGTGGCCTAGTGGCAAGGCGCTGCACTGCAGTCCCAGAGGTACACAGTTCAAATCCACCAGATGCTCTGCTGGAGAAGGAGGGGGCAATCTCCTCCTGTACGAGTCAGATCTGATTTGACGGTACATGTAAAAATAATACAATTTAAAAAAAAGTTGCTCTAACACAGGTGGGTGGGAGCAATTAGTGAACTCTCCCAGGAATCCCCCGCAGAGCTGCTATGGGGAGTATCTGAAAAAATATAACTTAGTAAAATGCATAAACTAGCACACACTTGGTTCATTTTTATGTTGGTACCTGGGTTCATTTGTGTTATTATTTATTTGAATTATGCCTAAAGGCTTCGGAATTTTTAATTCATGTTTATTCTTAACATTATAATACACGTAACACTAAGATTATTTTTTCCCAAAAAAAATTTTTATATAGATGATTCTTATTCTATAACCAAGCTTAGTTTCTATTCAGTTGGTTTTGACTTGTAGCAAGCAAGATTTTTCTAGAATGAAATGGTAATAGCCATAATCTTTTGGATTGCCAGGCCTATCTTCTGAGGCATATATACATAGGCTTGAATCAGCAGTCTATTTTGGTTAGTTGTTGTGGTGTGTTACTGAGTCAGAACTAATTTATAGCTAATTTCCTCAGTGAGTTTTCAGAAGACTCATGGGAGGAGATTGCACATCTTTGTGCTGCAGAGTGTGCAGGTGGTGGGTGTGAACCACCAGCTTGTGCCTTTGCTGGGCGGTGCAGATCCTTACCACTAGGCCACCAGAGGTCTCTTTCGGTTAGTAGCAGAGTGCCACTCTTTTGGAGATCACTTCCCTTTGTGATACAGAAGTTGACAAGTATTTTTAAGCAGTGTTAAAAATGAATACCTCTCTTGCAGAATGTTGTTGTTGTTATATGCTATCGAGGTGTATAATAGCCCTGAGACCTGCTCTATCCTATGCCAACCTTACTGTCTCTGACATACCTACCCTCATTACCCCAGTCACTGAATCAGTTCATCTCAGAGGGTCACCTTCTTTTGCGCTGTCCCTCCACTCTTCCAAGCATGATGTCCCTTCTCCAAGGGCTGGTCCCTCCTTGCAGAATGCCCAAAGTATGTCAAATGAAGCCTTAGAATCCTTGTCTCCAAGGAGCAGCCTGTTTCAGCCTCTCTAGGACGAACCTGTTAGTCTGGCAGTCCATGGTATATTCAATAATCCAGCACCATAGCTCAAATGTACCAATTCTGTCATCCCTAGTCATTCTCCAGCTTTCTGATGCATAGCAAGTAATTGCGAAAACCAGGTGCTCCTTCATCTCCAGACTGATATCTTTGCTCTTCAGTACTCTGGAGACGTCCCTGACAGCAGACTTTCTGAATGCAGTTAATCTTTTGGTTTCCTGGCTGCTGGTAGCAAGAGTGTTGATTGTGGAATAAAAATAGTTAATTCACAGAAAATGTTTAAAATAGAATTTGGTACATTGTAGTTGCTCAGTGATTTTTTTCTCTTGTGTGTCCCTGGTTGGCACAAAGGGTTAACAGCTTGGCTACAAATTGAAAGGTTGATGGTTCAAACTTTCCCAGAGGCACCTTAGAAGAACTGATGATTTGCTTCAGAAAGATCACAGCCTTAGAAATCTTTGTACTGTTAGCATGGAGTTCTACCCTGAAACAAGGAGGTATTGATGTGATGGCCAGCCAGTTGGATTTTTTTTGTTTGTTTGTTTATTCCTATGAGTAATTTATTTTTGAATATTTCTAAAAATCAGTTGCTGTCAAGTTTATTACAACTCTTGGGCACTCTTGTGTGTGTCAGTGTAGGCTGTACTCCATAGGATTTTCCTGGCTGATTTGGGGAGTTCTGGTGGCTTAGTCCGTAGGATGTCGCACTGCTAATCCAAAAGTTGTGGCCCTTTGGCAGCTTGAGTCCACCAGTGTCTCTGCAGGAGAAAGATGAGCAGGTTTTTCCACTTGTTTTATATCCTCAGAAACTCCATGGAGGGTCAGCTATGAGTTGATTCCTGCATGATGGCAGTGAGAAAGAGAATATCCTTAGACTTAAATGCATCTTTGTAAAGGGCTTGAACCGTGCCTAGAACACTCAATTGGTATAATAACTCCCTCTGGTGTCTCCCCAGCCCTCACCCTGGCTCCCCGACTTTGGGCCATCCGTCCCATGGCTACCTTGAACCAGATGCACCGCAAGGGACCCCCGAAGCGGAAGCCCCGGCGCCTGGGCCCCACGGAAGGCCGGCCGCAGTTGAAAGGCGTGGTCCTGCGCACATTCACCCGCAAGCCCAAGAAGCCCAACTCGGCCAACCGCAAATGCTGCCGTGTACGGCTCAGCACGGGCCAGGAGGCTGTGTGCTTCATCCCCGGCGAGGGCCACAACCTGCAGGAGCACCATATCGTCCTGGTGCAGGGTGGCCGCACCCAGGACCTGCCCGGTGTCAAGCTCACTGTTGTGCGTGGCAAATATGACTGTGGTCACGTGCAGAAGAAGTGACCTGGGGTGCTGGTGGGCTGGATGTCCTGGTGCAAAAGGATTTTCCTCTTCAGCAGAGTCTTTGGCTACTCTGCCAGCAGTCACGCCTGCATTCAAATCCCAGCTCTGCTTCTCCAATCAGGGCCACTATTAGCCTGATGTGAATGAGAAAAAGCATGGCTTTCTCCCTTTCTGCAGAGACAGGTGCTGTGACACCGTCAGCTGGGAAGGTGTGGTAATAAACATGTAGAGCTCTGAGGTTGTGATGTGAATGATGCCCTGAGCCCTATGTGCCCTCTGGGTAGTTTAGCAATCCAGATTCCTTCTGGGCCTCAGTTTTCTCCCCCAGAAAATAGTCCCACTCACAGTGAAGATGAAACGGCCCCACTCACTTGAAGATGAAATGAGATGACCTATGGAACACAGGCTGTGCTGCACCCCTAAAGGCACATGGTTCAAATCCACCACCTGCTATATGGGAGAAAGATAGGCAGTCTCCTCCTATGCCTCTGAAAACCTGAAGGTTCAGCCATGGTTGGTTCCCACTTGATGATACCTAGGGCAGCAATAACCTTATTTTAACTTTGAAGTCCAGGAGGTGGCACTGAGTCCCAGGTACACTTCCTACAGACATGGGAAGGTGAAGCCCTGACCTCAAGCTTCCTAATACAGAAGTGGACAGTAATTGTAACGTTGATGTTGAGGGCAAAGATGATATACTGCTTCATACTGCTCACATACTTCAGGCATGTGGCCAGGAGGGACCAGTCCTTGGAGAATGACACCACACTGGAAGGGAAGAGGGACATCGCAGGAGAGGACAACCCCAGATGAGTTGGATTGACATGGTAACTTGAGTAATGGGGGTAGGTATGTTGGAGCCATGAGGTTGACTCAGGATAGGACAGGGTTCAGAGCTATTGTGCATAGGGTTGCTATGAGACGTAGGCAACTCGATGGCACACAATAATAACATTGTAAGGTACCACCAGGTCAGCTCCGACTCATAGCAACCCTGTGCACAACTGAACAAAACCCTCCATCATTCTTAGGATTTCTGCTATGCCCATTGTTGCCGCTCCTACCAGTCCATCTCTGTCTTCCTGTATTTGTTGACTCTACCAAGCATGCTGTCCTTCTCCAAGGATTGACCTCACTGTAATAACAGTTAAAATATGTAAGATGAAGCCTGAACAATCCTTGCCTTTGAGGAGCACCCTGGTTATACTTCTTTTGAGACAGAGTTGTTCTTCTGGAAGCTCATGGTGTATTCAGTGTCCTCAGTGGACAGGCATCAGTTTGTTGGCCTGCTGTCATTGTCATACTTTCTCATTTTTCACACATGTTCTCTGCTGTGGAGTCAGAACCAATTCATAGCTGACACTGCAGTGGATTTTCAGAGGCTATGAATCACATGAGAGGAATTGCCAGTTTTTCTCTTATAGAGAAACTGCTGGATTCGAACCGCTAGGCTTTGGGTTGGCAACACAACTCCTTACTGCTTGGCCACTCAGTTCCCTTTGTTTCATATGTGGAAGCCACTACTATCAGCGCTCAGGCCGACCTGGCTTCAAATCCTGTTTCTACTTTTTACCTGTCTTGTGACTTTGGGTAGATTATGTGCGCCCTCTGGGTCTGTTTTTGTCCCTGAGAAGTGGCACTTTGAGTGATAGTGACTGGTGGGGGTTGGGGGTGTTTTTTGTGAGAATAAACACTTGCTAGGGCCCTTAGATACAGGAGCTGGATTCTTGTCCTTGGCCCCACAGCTGACTTTGGGTCATGTCCTGCCTTCCTCACTGGTGGTCAGTGACCCATTCAGACACCCAACTTGCTTCCAATGGACTAAATTACCTTGATAAGAACATCTGCTTTTTGAGCTTGGGAAGGGCCAATGAGAACAGACATGAGTGAGTTAAGTGACATTGTCTGCAATCACTTAATTGGATTCTCTAAGCCACCTCCAACTCCTGCATGGTCTTTTTGCAGACTGTTAAACTCATGGGAAACACAGGGAGCGGAACTGGAGCAGTTAAGGTTGTGGATTACAGACAAACTGCCCAACACCTCATAGCACCAGTTTTATTGAGTCAATTTGTCAGCTGGGTTAAATGGGAGGAAGAGCTTTCATTCCAGGTAGAGAAAGGAGGGGCTTGACAGGAGACGGGGATGAGGACCTGAGGACCACAGGATGGTATGGGCAGTTATACTTGGTTGATTGTCCCACAGCGGAACTCCAGACTGCTTCCTGCCCACTGCCAGTTAGCAGTTTGCCCAGTAACAGGGTTCTCTGGACCCAGGTTCCCTTCTTTCTCTGTCTCAGTCTACCAGTGGATAACCTCATGTAAGAAAACAATGTGCTAACGAGTTAACTAGCAGCCTCTTGGGTATCTGATGCCCCCCACGTGGGGAGCCAAGAATGGCAGGAACAGCATGGTGGGGCTCCTGGTTTGAATGAGCAGCAAGGGGGTTTCATGGAGGGAATGCCAGACGAGACCCCTGCTGTCACTGGGCATCTTAGGCTCCATTTGGCTGCAAAGTTCTTGATTGAAGATGGTGTCAGAGAGCCACATTGCATCCTGGGAGGTCCCAGTGGGCTAATCACTAGGACAGACGGATGCGGACCCTCACGCTGGAGTGGGTCACCAGGGCACCGTAGTGGCCCACCCAGGAATGTATGTCTCTCCCATACTGCTCAAAAGACACGTAACGGATGCCCTTGCCAAAGTTGGTGAAGACATGAGAGACCTGTGGAAGTGAGGAGAAAGAGAGGTTGAGGGCCTGTGAGGACTTGCCTCAGTTCACTGTGGAGCAAAGGCAGGCCCTTTTTTGGCTGCAGTGGCAGATAAAGCAGTGGACACGTGTCCCCCTGGGCTGTCATTCTAGTGGGAGGCCCAGACCCTCAATAAGCTGGAGGCGATAAGCAGGAACATTCTTCCAGGGGATGGGTCTGTAAAGGGAGGAAAGGGAGACCCCACTGAGACTGTGACAACATGCCAGTCACTTCACTCCTTTGTGCCTCAGTTTCCTCAACTTCAGAGTGTGGTTAGGGTAAGGACTTGATTCATTACTGCACTCCCAGCCCCAAATTAGTGCCTAGCATACAAAAGATGCTCAAGAAATGTAGTATGAACAACCAGCCCTTGAATGGGAAATCAAGATGCAACGATCTTGAAGTGGCCCAGGGTACAATAAGGACTCAACAGTTGTTCAAAAACCAAATCCACTGGTGTTGAGCTAGTTCTGACAGTGACACTCCATTGATTTCTGAGGCTAAAATCTTCATGAAAAAACTTCTCATCCAGCTTCCTGGGAGCTGCTGGCGGAATTGAACTACCGACCTTTCAGTTAGCAGCCTGATGTTCTGCATTCTGCCACCAGGGCTCCTTATGATTATTAGTTGTCATCGTGCCATTTCTGACTTATAGCAACCCCTTGGGTACAGAGTTGAGCTCCATGTGGTTTTATAGACTCTGTATGGTTTATGTGACCTTTTGGAAGCTGATGACCAGGCCTTTCTCCAAGGTGTCCCAGGGTGGGCTTGCAACACCAACCTTTCCACTAGTACTCAGGCACTTAACTGCCTGCACCAAGCAGGGACGCTTAGGGATGGTTGGCCGTTAGTATTATGGGATGGCCAGCAGTGATGACAGTCGAGAACGGAAATCAGTCCTTCAGAGGCTGGGGTGTGCATGCCTTTGAGAGGGCCAGGGATGACTAGGAAGGAAGTCTGGACCCACCTGTCGGCAGCCCCTCTCAGTCCACTGAAGGACTGGGTTGGGTGAAGCAGAGAACTTGACAATTTCGTTCTCATAGATGTCCAGTAGACGAACCCGGAGCCGGTAGATGCAGCTGCAATTCTCACGGGCGCCCCACCTGTCAGGTGACAGATGACATTGAGTGCTGAGGCCCCTGCCACCCTTCCAGCTCTCTTCACCTTGAGGATTCAGTTGTGCGGGCTCTACAACTGAGATTCTAGCTTGGAACCCTCTGAGGGTGGAGCCAGGACCAGGGGAGGAGCCTCAGGTGGGAATGTGGATGCTTGGAGAACAGACTAGTGAACACCCTACCACTCCCCAGCAAGACCAGACTTTATGGAGGGCCAAGGGCCTGAAGGAGACACTGGGAAGAACCCAGATGCCTGGAAAGGAGAGAGCTCATCGTAGGCCTATTCGAGTTTGAAGCCAGCTGGCACCTGCCCCTACTGTGCCCGCCTTCCTTACCCCCAATCTCAGTTCTTAGGGCACAGTGCTCCCAAGGCTGTTAACAAGCCTCGGCCTGCTGGGAAGAGGGTAAGGAGGGCACACCTGTGAAGGCATTACTTAACCTTGCCTCTCAGCTCACTAAGCAAGTGGCACCATAACAGCAGCTAACCGTTGGGGAAGAGGGCACTCAGGTCTAGTCTCTTCTACAGACTCACCCTGAACACAGTTGCCTCTTTGAAGACTTACCAGTCTGCCACACAGATTTCAATCTGGGTGCTGTCGAGTAACTCCTGCCATACCCCTTCCATCACCAGGTCCACCAACTGTCTTTTGAAGCACCATCTGGAAAGGGGAGATGGAAGGGTGCTGTCTGCAGATGTGAGGCTGACACAGACCTCAATATGACTGCTGTCTCTTGACCTGAGTCACAAACCAGATACCACCTCCTCCGGGGAGCCTCTCTAAACCTCCCTTTCTAAATAAAGTGGCCACTTGGCATTTGCCCTAGAGGACATAAAGATGCATGACTCATGATGACCCCTCCCCATGAGCCTCTCATAGCCCCTCTGCTGTGTCCCACCCTGCTCTGGGATTTAGGGGGCTTAGCAGTATCCAGCCTAACCCCTATTATTTGTGGTGGTGTAATGTGAAACACTTTGAGCTTCTAACTGAAAGTGGTTCAAATCCACTAGCCACTCCATAGGAGTCTCCTCCAGCAAAGATCTGGAAACCGATAGAGTTGGTACGAGTTGGAATCAACATTGGTGGATTTGTGTTTGTTGTTTTTTTAACTTAAGCAAGGAGCTATGGTGGCTTAGTCAGTTAAGTGTTGGGCTGCTAACCGAAAAGTCAACTGTTATACTAAACCAATTGCACGGCAGAAACAAGATGAGGCAGTCTCATCCTTAAAGGTTTACATCTCAGAAAGTCTACAAGGCAGTTCTACTCTGTCTTATAAGAGTTGGAATGGAATTGATTGAATAGGGAACTCAGACACAAGAATCTGAGTAGAGAATCTTGGGGCATCAAAAAAGTACAGAGAAGCCAATGGGTGGCATGGTTAAACTGAGAGGCTGGAGGTTCAAACCCATTCAACACTCAGGCAGGTGCCGTGAGCCAGAATCAACTGGAAGGTTGGAGTTGGTTTTTCCTCAAGTGCAGGGCCTTTACCAGTTGCACTTCCAGCTGGGTCAGATGGTAGAAACTTCTAGCAGAAGAAAGAGAATATCCTCTTAGCTTCCTCTCTTGCACTGGACCACTTTGGGGCTTCTGTATCCCTCAGGTATAGGGCACTGCTTCATCAGGCTGTGTCTTCTCACAGTCTTTTGTGTTTCTGCCTTTTGTTTTGGTAACTGTTTCCTTTCCTCTCTCCCTGTTTTTATTTGCCATCAAGTCACTTGCGACATAGTGGCCTTATGTACAATAGCCCTGAAACCTTCTCTGTCCTGTGCCAACCTTATTATCTCTGACACACCTACCCTTATTATCCAAGTCACTGAATCAATCCATCTCATTGTGGGTATTTCTCTCGCACTGTCCCTCCACCCTTCCAAACATGATGATCCCTCCTTGCAACATGCCCAAAGTTTGTCAGATGAAGCCTCAGAATCCTTGCCTCCAGGGAGCAGCCTGGCTTCTCTCTGTAGGACATACCTGTTAGTTCTGGCAGTCCATGTGCTACAGCTCAAAGGCATCAGTTCTCTTTCTATCATCCCTAGTCAAGTAACTGCAAAGACCATGGCATGGATCAGGTGCACCTTAGTCTCCAGATTGATGTCGTTGTTCTTCAGTACTCTGGTGAGGTCTCTGACAGCAGACTTTCCCAATGCAATTTGTCTTTTGATTTCCTGGCTGCTGGTATCAAGAGTGTTGACTGTGGAGCCAAGCAAACTAAAGCTGTTGACAATCTCAACCTCTTCACCATCTATCATAATGCTGTCAATTGGCCCAGTGGGTGAGACTCTATGTTTTCTTGATGTTGATCTTCAATCCATATTGAAGTCTGCAGTCCTTGACCTTCTGCAGCAAGAGCAGGATTGTCATCTATGTAATGCAGGTTGTTGATGAGTCTTCCTCCAAATCTGATGCCACACTTCTCCTTATAGAGCCCAGCTTCCCAGATGATTTGTTCTGCGTATAGATTGATAAGGTATGTACATCCTTCCCAATTTTGAACCATGCATTGTTTCCTTGCTCTGTTCTGACGACTGCCTTCTGGTCCAAATATAGGTTTAGCATAAGCACAATCTGAAGGATCCCTGAAGGGTTGAGTGACAATAAGAGGTCTGCTGGACTAGGACATGTTCCAGGACCCTTGAAAATGAGGGAGCTTCAGGGGGTCCGGGTTGAAAACAACCCAGATCCAGTTCTAAGAGCTATTCCTTGTCAGCAATCTTCTGAGTCTCTGACCTCTGAAGGGCTAAGTACTCCAGAGGAATTCTTGTTAACAAGAATTCCAGGAATGAGGTGGTTTGTAAATAGCTTGGCACTCCCCCTGGATCTTTCTTACTTGCCCATTTGTTTTCTTGAGATAAGATAGAGAGAACACAGATCCTTGAGTAGTCAAAGATCATTTACTTCAGTAAGAAAGTTTTCTATCTTTCTTTACCCTGAAAAATGTGCATGTGACTTTCGAAGTATGCTATACCTGCTTCTGTAATAAAAGGGAGGAAGGGGAAGCTCTTTTTTCCCCATTTGCCATTTTTCCTAGTAAAGCTTTTGGCCCTTCACTTATATCATCTCTCATGAGTCTCTTCCTTCTGCAACCTGCGATCACAGAACACCTGTGAACTACCACACTCAAGTGCTCAGGGATTCCCATTCTCAGAGTTAGCCACAGTTTGTGTGATCCACACAGTCAAATGCCTTGGTATAGTCAATGAAACATAGACAGACACTTCCTCTGGTACTCTCTGCTTTCAGCCAAGATCCATCTAAAATTAGCTATAATATCCCTAGTACCATGGCCTCTTCTAAACCTAGTCTACACATCTGACAGTTCTCTGTTGGTGTTCTATTCCAGTCATTTTTTGATAATTTTAGCAGAATCTTGCTTACATGTGATATTAATGGTATTTTTAGATAATTTCTGAACTCTGTCAACTCACCTTTCTTTAGCATGGGAACAAATATAGATCTCTTCCAGTCAGTTGGCCTGGTGGTTGTCCTATAGATTTCTTGGCAAAACTTGGTGAGCACATCCAGGGCAGAGTCTATTTATTGAACTATGTCAGTTGGTATGCCATCAATTCCTGGGGCCTTATTTTTTGCCAGTTCTCTAAGAGCAGCCTGAACTTCTTCCTTCATCACCACAGGCTCTTGCTCATACATTGTTTCATGAAATTCTTCTGTGTCAGCCAATTAATTTTGGTACAGTGACTCTGTATACTCCTTCCATCTTTTAATGCTTCTGGATCATTTACTATTCTGCCCAAAACATCCTTAAATATGGCAACTTGAGGCTTGAATTTGTTCTTCAGTTCCTTCAGCTTAAGAAATGCAGAATGAGTTCAGCTCTATTGATTTTTCGACTCCAGCTCTTTGCACATTTCATTATAATACTTTACTTTGTCTTCCCACGCTTAAGTGTGGTAATATTCCTTCCTTCCATGCTAACTAGCTTGAGGTCCTATAGTACCTGTCACTTGTGATCCACCTATACCTTTGTAAATAGTCCATTTCTCCTTATTTGAATGTGTCATAATAAAAGAACTAGTGTCATATTTTTGGAGAAATAGGTAAAGTGGTTATGGAACAGATAAGAATGCTCAGGCACAGACCTGGGTATGTATGAGAATTTAATAAATGATAGAGACAGCACCAACAGTCACTGGGGGACAAATGGGTTCTTTAGTCAATGGTGATGGACAGCTGGCTCAGTATATGTTGTAGGTACTGTTCAGTCAGCTCAGTTTCATAGCAACACTGTGTACAACAGAAGGAAATGCTGCTGGGTCTTGTATCATCCCCACAATCTCTGCTGTACTTAAAGCCATTGTTACAGCCACCGTGTCAATCCATCCATTGAGGTTCTTCTTTCTCACTGGACTTTTATGACTGATGAGTCTGTCTGTTTTCCAAGGATGATAACTTTCAATATATGCCCCTCCTCAAATCACAACCCACTACCATAGTCAGTTTGGAGTCATAGTGACACTACATTGGGTTTCTGAAGCTGTAAGTCTTTATAGGAGGAACAGAAGTCAAGTTAGTTAAGTTAGTTTTAACTGCTTTATCTTTACCACTAGTATAGCCTGCATAATTAATTTTATTTGCATCCATATAATATCTTCTTAGAAAGGTGAAGTTTTTACTTTAGTTGGTAGTATCCTGTTAGTGTATTTTATAAACGGTAATTGTTTATCTAAGGGATAAGAATTAGAGATCTTTCCTAGATAGTATGCAAAAGCTTCCTGCCAATAATCTGATGATTTCCATAAATTATTTACCTGCAAAGATATAATTGGGACTATAATTTCTACTGGGTTGGCAGCCATTAGCCAACCTGTAAGTATGAGGTCACAAATTTTTTCAGTATATGTAACTAAGATTTAGTACATTTATTTCCCAAAAATAACCATTCTATGATTTTATTTTCTTGATCTAATATTCCAGTGTAAGTGTAATGAATGAATAATAATTTTACAGGTTTATTTAAATCTATGTGATATAACTGAGCTTCATGTATCCTTTGCTCTATAACTTGTAATTCCTTTTTTCCTTTGGGTGTTACCTTTCTAGACTTTGAATATCTGAAGGACCTTCTAAGATTTTAAATACATTTTGTAATTGATATGTAGGAATACCTAGACTAGGTCATAGCCAGTCTAGGTATTAATATCATCCAATAGTTTTTTAAAAATTATTTAATGTATGCAAAGTGTCTCTCCGCATTTGTATTTTTTTCTTTTTTCCGCATTTGTATTTTTTAAAGAATAATTTTAGATCTTTTTAATAGGGATCGTATGTATCTATAGGGTTCAGTTGTTTGTATTTTATCAGTTGCTATTTGTAATCCATATTCCTGAAGAATTTCTGTTGCTTTATTATATAAACATTGCAATGTATTCAAATCAGAACAAGGAAACAAAATGCCATCCATACAATGAATCATTAAAGATTGAGGAAATTATTTTCTTAAAATCTCTAATGGCTGATTTACAAAATATTGGCACATAGTTGGGCTGTTCAGCATTCCTGAGGCAGTACTCTCCATCCATATCTTTTAGCAGATTAATGATTATTAACAGCAGGAATGTTGTTGTTGTTGTTATTGTCATTATGTGCCGTTGAGTCACTTACGACTCATAGCGACCCTATGTACAAAAGCCCTAAACCCTGCT